CATCCATCCATTGTCTCTTCAAAAGATCAGAACCATCTTTGTGAAGTGATAAATAAATAAAATAAAGAGGTATCCATCTGTCCATCCATCCATCCATTTGGCCATCCATCCATCCAACAATGAGGACACCCTCTGCGGTCAACAGAACAGAGTGCCTTGCCTACTGAACCAAAGTGTCCTCCTCCTCCCTGTCGACATCTGCTGGTACTGACATAACGCTAAGCTAGCGGTGCGCGATACAGACGCGCTAGCTAAAAAGCTACAGAGGTAGTGCTCCGCTTCCCTCACTGCACAACACAAAAATCACGGAAAAGATGAGCGCATGTAACCCAGGGGAAACACTGAAAGTGTACACAACTCTACGTGTAGTAACGAGTTTCACTAAATTATCTCGAGTGGATTAGTGGATGTTATGGGCTGGATAAAGAAGGTCTACAACTCTGTGCTTCTTTTGAGGGGAGTATAAAAAGACACAGAGTGGCAGCAGTGAGGAAAAAAGTGGAAAACGAGTGAATTAGAAAAGGAAAGAATAAGAACTAAAAAAAAGATTAATAAACCTTGGGGAAGTGCTTGCAGGTTATTGACGAGGAGCAAAGCTCCAATCACCTTAAACCTCAAATCAAGGTGTGACTGCACTGAAGCAAACTGGAAATGATGACGCAACACACAAAGAAATCTCAACAGAGCTGAAACATTGATTTCAACATCATGTGGATAAACCAGAAGGAGTGGCACCAGAGAGACCAGCAGACGATCAATATGTCACACGGGGGGGTCGGTGGTGGTTCCTCCCCAGGTGTTCTCCTCACTCGGTTTGATCCCGCTGCTTAACGTGGAAACAGCAGAGCATCGATCCGTCTCCTCGACTGTCGCTCTGCTCGTCAAGTCTCTGAAGCCTCCCAGCTGCCGCTCAACATTTGATCCAAACCATCTGCTGCGCTCATAAATATTGTTTTAAGAAGAATATTATGACGTCTGTCTACATTAATCTTTAGGATTTTAAATATTTCTTTCCAAAACAACGATCAGGACGGACATCCTCAGACGGTGAGCATTTCATTAAAAAATTATGAGCTCATCGTCTATAATTTTTACCTTTATTTCTCAGGAAACAACTCTGTAACATGTTGTAAGACCATTTATGTTCACCTGGAGGTTAAACTGAACTAGTTCTTACTAATCACAAAAAATAATAAAACAAAAGATGGCTGCCATCTTTGTTTTAGCTAACACAAAAATGGCTAAAATGCAGTAATTTTTACAGATATTGAGCTAAAATCAAGTGTGGCAGTAGCTGAGAGTCATTCCCAACACATATTTGAGCGGGAACAGAGATTTACTTGAATCACTGGCATCAACTGTTGAAGTCAACACTGTTTGTTAGCAAAATAACTCATCGACTACTGTCTAAAAATTGATAAAAGTGTTTTTCGTTCAACCTTTATTTACAGGCTAGCCTCATTGAGCCACGGGGACTCATTTACAAGAGAGATCTGTTCCAGACAGAACATATAAAGTACAGACAACAAAACGGTAAACAATGACAACAATAAACTACAGTAAAAATCCAATTAAAATAAGAGTAGTGTATGAAACAATAAATCAGGGTGCTGTAAAACAGGGTGAAATACTAAAAACAAGAACATATTTGCTTTGATTTTTCTATTGACATTATCAAATGTTTGAAACCTCTTAAAGAAATCAAGGTGGACAGCTTCAGTTCCTGTTGCAACGTGTTCCAGGTGCAGGAGCCGAGTAGGAAAAGACCTTTTTGCCAAGTTTGGTCTGCACTGAGGGAACGCTGCAGGTAATGATGGACTGAGAGCGCATGATGTAACTGCACTGACGACGTGACATGTGGGAGGAGATATAAGAAGGTAGCAGACCAAGGAGGGATTTATAGATGAAAATGAACCGGTGTGAGAGCCTACGTGTAAATAATGGTGATCAACTGACCAAGGAGTACAGGGTGCTGTGATGGGTACGGTAGTTACAAACAGTTATGAATCTTAGTGCACCATGGTAGACAGCATCCAACATCTGCAAGGAGCTGGCAGGAGCATTCATGTAAATAATGTCACCATAGTCAATGGCTGGTAGGAAGGTGGAGGTTACAAGGCTTTTTCTGGCATTCAGAGTTAAGCAAGATCTATTTCTGAAAAACAAACCCAATTTTAATTTCAGTTTCTTTATAAAGTTTTTTATATGTGGTTTAAAAAAGAGATGTGTATCGACCAAAATTCCCAAGAATTTGTAATAATCTACAAACTCAATAGGAACACCATGCATGGATGAGATAGGAGGAAGAGTTGCCGGCACTGACTTTCTGTTGAAAAACATTCCTTTGGTTTTGTCAGCATTGAGCACCAGCTTGAGATGGAATAAGTCTGACTGAATGATGTCAAATGCAGACTAGAAGCTGGAAAACCTTGGCAACTGTGTTAGCTCGGCAATAAACAACAGTGTCATCGGCAAAGAGATGCAAGGATGCATCAGGAATATTTTGACCTACATTATTTATATAAATTGTAAAAAGAGTGGGACCTAAAACTGAGCCTTGTGGCACACCATCGGTGACCATTAGGTAGTTAGATGAAGTACCGTTATGTCGAACACATTGCCTCCAACCTGAGAGATAGTTTGAGAATCAGCAAACAGTGTGATCTGACAAGCCAATATGTGAGAGCTTGTGGCATAAGATGTCATGATCTACTGCACCAAAGGCTTTGGACAGGTCTAAGTAAAGTGCAGCATAGTAATCTTTAGCGTCCAAAGCTTCAAAAACATAATTAAAAAGCAATCATTAAATATACATCTTTAAATTCTACTTTTGGAAGTAAGATGACCACCACAACAGTTGTCTAGCGGGGGAGGGGGGGTTCAGCATGAGGGAAGAGGCGCTGCATTTAGCTTTTTAGCTAGCACGCCTGTATTGTGCGCCGTTAGCTTAGCGCTACGTCAGTGCCGACGAGGGTTGGGGGGGTGCATGCAGTTTGGTTCGGTAGGCGGGGTGCTCATTTCTGTTGAAAGTTGACGGGGCGCCCCGTATAATGTAGGGGAAACATTACTGATGAATACACCAACGTCTCTTTGGACCCTGGATTTTATTAGTTTTGCTCCTACATGCTGAAAAAGGGTGAGTAGCATAAAAACACGCTGCTCTCTGCCGTTTATTATAACTGTTGTTAGTGCAGAAAAACATTTGACTACAGCTGCCTGTAGCTGTAGCTGCATGTGCGACTTCACACTTGTAAACTTTTCACAACTCCGTGGGAAGTTTCCCCAAAAATCTCCACTCTGAGACCTGAAGTTTTCTGACAGTACGAGGGCTGTTCTCGTGTAAAATGAACGGCCGACAAAAATGTAGAAAAATCAAGTAATAATTTTCATAGTGAGGAAGGATGATAGGCTATGGTCTGTTTTTTTAATGCCATGCGATCTAGCCAAACTACCTTTGCGATTGACCGGTAGATCGCAATCGATGTATTGGGCACCCCTGCTTTAAGGCTTTTCTTCTAGAATAATAACTGGGTCACACAATGGCTGTGAAGCACACTGCTCCATGAGAATTATTTAAATGGCGCCAGTGGTTCTGAACCCTTCCGGTGTGTGTTGCTTCAAAACGACTGCAGTGCTCCTCCCAACCCGCAGGTGTCACCGTTAGAAACAAGACGAGCGCCAGAAAGAAGGTAAAGTTCCAACAAATCTTGAACTCATTCGCCTTATGTTTGAGAAAATATCTCTAGAAACAAAACTTTCCTGCAGATTCTTTCATCTTTTATAGATTTCAAACAGATTTTATTTGTGCAAAAACTTACAAAAAAGGATGCATCTAAATTTAATTACCAATTTTCGGATTGGTACAAATCAGATGATCTTTCCAATCTTTCATCTTTAGTACTTTAGGGAAACAAGAACCAGCTTTAATGGCCTCACACCATCTAAAAGTCCAATTGGTCTTCAGACACATAAACCACACACACTCGCAAACACCCAAACATACCGCGTGTGTTTTATGGGCCCCACGAGGCGCTGAGCACACTGCATTCCCAACAGCTTTATGTATTGGTCAATTTAACAGCGCTAACATCACCGTATTAAAAATTCATGCACTGAAGGTCACAGAGGCGTTTCTGTGAGTGTGTGAGAGTGAAACCAGTTAATCCAGACTGGCCTTTGCAGACAAGTAGAATTATGACTTTGTTATCTGCCTCAGTTATTCTGCCAAACTCACCGTCAGGAAACAAATGGAAGTCAGTCACTGAAAATGAGAAAAGGCAATGAACTCACATGGTCTCGTCGTTTTGAAACTCCAGCTTCCCAACAGCTGTTTCGTAGTCCTCCCCTCCTTTAGCTGTCCCGTCCAGGGTTCGGTAGGGGACAGCAACCAGCCCCCGAGCCCCTGACGTCCGGAGGACCTTCACCTCCATTACACCGACGCTCTCGCTCACTCTCTGACTGGAACTCTCAAAGGTAAAGATGCCTGATGGAGAAAAGACATAGAAGAAAACACGTTGTCATTAAGCTGTTCTCTATGGTGTAGAGTGGAGAATGTAGGTGTAGACACGTCCTCACACAATTTAAGTTTACAGTAGCCCCTCAATACTTCGCAATTCAATTTTCGCAGACTCACTCTTTCACGGGTTTTCAATGTAAGATTCTACATGACACACGATTGGCAACGGGGAAAAACAGACCCCACCTCGCCCCCTCCTTTCTCTTTCTGAGGCTGCCAGTCACTGCAGAGCAGACTGCGGTGACAGCCTCAGAAAGAGAAAGGAGGGGGATGAACAGATCAGATGAACAAATGTAGAATATCAGAGACAATGCTTAGGTGGAAAAATAAGAGTGAATCAGTTTTTAAAAAGAGAGAGTGGCTGAGTGCAGCTCACTCAGGTGTAAGACAGACCCCCCACCCTTCTCTTTCTGAGGCTGTCTGTCACAGCAGAGTAGAGATGCACAACAGACAGCCTTGGAAAAAGAAAGGAGGGGGCAGGGGGTCTGTCTTATACCTGAGTGAGCAGCACAAGTGGCATGGATTATTTATTTAAAATAATAAAACACGACCTGAAATGAGCCTTTAGTCTAGTCCCTTGGCAGTCACTGAGTGGGCCAGGCCACCGGGAAATGTCCCGGTGCTCCTGATGGCTAGTCTGATTGGCTCAGTAACCGTTGTAACCTTTTGCTGTGCTCTTTAAGAGCATGTAGAGAGTTTAGAACATTGTTAAGAACATTGCAAGAATGTGGGAAGGGTTTATTAAGCCTTAAATTATAAATAAATACTAAAATAAATATAACGTCCCTACTTCGTGGATTTTCACCTATCGCAGGGATGTCTGGAACGTACCCCCCTGTGAGGGGCTACTGTATTTGGAGTCCATCAAAACCCAAGAATTTAAGACGGAAATGAAAAATTCCTTGTTGTGACTCATTTTGCCAGCGGAGGTCACATTTGTTTATAGCCTTTACACTGAAACCCACTATAAACGAGCTGCACTATCCCTTTCTGACATGTTGGCTTGTATGAATTTAATATGATGTGCTTTATTTTAAGCTACTAATACACGTTTGGTGTCAGGATCTGTGTTTTTTGTTTATAGATTTTGTGTTTCGTGATCACGTTTTGTGATTCGTGCCGGCATTCATTCCTCCTCAGTCAGTTTTCTGCTCCATTCAGTCAGCCTGCCACGCCCACTTTCACCTACTCCTAGTTGATATTCAGCCCAGGTGTCTCCACTCACTCATCAGCAATGTTCCTTATATTAATCTGTTCTCCTCCACTCATCGGTAGAGCATTATTGGCTTCATTGCCACAGTCCGAACTTCCTTTGTGTCTCCATACATTCCTCTGGAGTTTTTCCCAATTTTGCTGCCATATTATAGACATTCTTCTTAAAATAAAGTTTGGTCTTATTAGCCAGCTGATTAATCACCTTTAACATAATGTACAAAAAAACCTGCTCACTTTTAAATGGGGCATTTCCAACTAACTAATCCAAGTTACGTAGGCAACTAATACTAACAAGGATGTATTGTAAAAATGTTTTTAAAGCTTTGATTGCAAGTAGGAGGTCTTTGTTCCACTGTAGATTCAAGGTTGTTTTATACTCCATCTGAAGTCAAGAAATTGTCTCTCACTGATGTAGCTGCATGACAAAGATTGCATCATTTTGTTCTTGTAGTAGCTTCACCCGCCCCTTCTCGACACAAGGCCCAGGCCAAACTTTTTCCTTACAAGAATTTGCACCAAGAAGTGTGTGATTGGTAAAAAGTTTGTGAACGTGTTTGTTTATGCATAAAAGCACTCAGACAGCTATGTTGTCATTTGGCTTGAACTACCGGTACTCTTCAGAATCCAGCTGTTGTGCGTGCAAACAACATGGATAGCTTTGAGGAGCAGTTGGCCGGGGCAATCAGAAAACACATCCATCTGCTGCCCCACTCAGAACTAAACCTGCTAAACCATCCCATCAGCCTGGTTAAATGAAACCACCCGCGCTCTCAGACGGGAGTGTCGCCAAGAGGAGGTGGAAAAAGGACAAACTCCAGGTGTCTCTGGGAATCTTACGTGAGTGCTTATTTAAATATCAGAGGGCTGTGAAAGCTGCAGAATCGGCTTTTGTGTCCAAAATGACTGTTGTAAATAGCCACAAACCCTGAGTTCTTTTAAATTTTTAACTCTGTTGTTGTCCATGAGGGTATACCCTTCTTAGCACCTTTTTGTTGTGGTGTACCTCAAGGGTCTATTTTGGGTCCTATTTAGTATTGTTTGTACTTGTTGCCTTTGGGATCAATTTTTAGAAAGCCCAACATATTTATATGTTTATAAATGTTTATATTTCAACAGGACAACATCCAAAAATGTTTTCCTTTTAAATCAGGTGTCTCTGCCACACTGCAGCCTCTATTTAACTGTCAAGGATGGTAAAGAGTGTCTACTTCAGAACTGTCTGGCCTTGAATGAAAATAAGACTGAATCTGTTTTGTTTGGCAATCAGACTCCTGTGTGTGCTGAACATTGATATTTCATCTGCAGAGTCCGTACAGTCCTTTAAATCTCGCCTAAAATCTGACTTTTTTTTACATCGGCTTTTAATGCAAGTTTGGTTTGAGTTCCATCAGAACCTCTTAGGTGTGCTATTTTCTTGTTTTTGTTTGTTATTAGCCTTTTTTTTATTATACTTGTGGTTTTTAATGTTTGCCCTTTCATTTATTTTATTGCTAGATTTCCTGTTTGTGAAGCACTTTGGTCAGCATCGCTGTTTTTAATATGCTATGTAGATAAAATTAGCACTATCTGTACGACTCTTTCAGACAAAGACAGTTAAATTGACAAAAACTGGATGGAGATAGCATGGACGTTGAGCACAGAGGAGTCCATCTGCTGAAAAGAGTGGCGCTCTCTTTGTGACAGATTTGTAAAAGGCCAAACATCGTACACAGGGACATTGGTGAGAAACCCACACTGGTGTTGTATACCGCTCTACAGTGGTTTCCCAGAAGCTCTGCACCACGTGTCTTGCGCACTATAGTGTGTGATCTTGCAGCCATGTGACAACGAGCTGACAGACGTATAAAACTCCCTTGTTTACAGACTTTGTTTACCTGCGTGATCATCATCGTAGATGGTCACTGTGGCTGTGTGGTTGTCACTGAGCACGGCTTTGGGTGTGGCGCTGGAGTCCAGCGGGGCGGTGCCCATCTCAGGGTAGCCGACCACACGAGGGTTACTCAGATGCACGTAGAAGTACTCGTCCTCCTCGAAGATGTCGTCGTCAATCACACCCACGGTGATCTCTGGGAAAATAAATAACGGGCACGATGAGGATCTTCCAGTGCCTGAGAGCCTCTCTCCACGTCGAGTAAATTCAATAAAGCTGAAGTGGTTTGCCTGCAGCGCTGAAGATCACTATCTGAGCTCAGTGGCATGCCTTCTGAACACGTCATAAAGTTTTACTGTCACTGATTGTGTGTTTTTTTGGGTTTTTTTTTTACCTTTCAGGGTCTCTCCCGGCTTAAACAGCAGCGTTCCTTCTGCGAACTCATAATCGGAGCCTGCGTTGGCCGTACCGTCCTCGGTGCGATAATCCACCTGGGAGCAGATGGAAACGCAGAGAGGTGGGAGAGATGAGGCTATGTGGGCATTAAAAACAAAGATAAAAGATATAAGATGTACGAAAAGAGCAGATTAGCTCAGAGAAGAAGAAGAAGAAGAAGAAGGGAAACAGCCTCATTAAATCACGGCCTTAGGTCAGAAACTGCGTGATAATAAAGACTTTGAGACCAAACGTTCGCCACGTTCAGTCTTTTCTCTTCGTAATTAACCCCATCCTGCTCGTCCGAATGTAAACTAAAGGCAGGCAACTCCACAACAACTTGTTTCTGTTTGTAGGCGAAGCTGAACTGTGAAGTCGGAGTCGGATGAGCTGCAGCGATTAATCTTTCAGCTCGGCTCTATTTTTAGCTCGTCGTGAAATGTGTATGCTCGAACAGATCTGCCTAATTCTTTCTTTAAAAAAAAAAAAAACACTCATTTATCCACCTGATATTTCTGGTACTTGTCCTGAGGCTGGGCGATATTTCAGTTTTCACACACGTGCAGCGCCGATTTCATACATTTTCCATGAAGTGTTGGAAATTATACATTTTTTAAATTTATTACAAATTTTTTAAGATAAATTAAAAAATGTTCCACTCTGCCAGACAGAAAAACTACGCAACCCTGTCGACTTCTAACAAATATCCTCTTAGTGGTTGCTTTCATTTCTTAGCCTGCAGTTGATTTATGAATTTATTTTTATTGCAAGTAAAAGGTGCTCAAAGCAAAAAAGACCTCAATTCTTGGCAAAAGGATAAATGTGTTTAGGTAAAGAAGCTGCATGAAGTTACCGGGAGTCAACTATAACAATATCTGTAAATGGTAAATAGCACTATTTATGACACCAGGATATTCATAACTTTTTATAGCACAATTTGAATTTGTTAAGATGTGAACAATTTACGACACCCCCCAGCAGTGTACATGTCTCTCCAGAGGGAACTATGTGAGCGATTCACCACTTTTATCGAAACTCTTGCGGTACCTCTGTGTGTTGTTTCTGGACACGCTCACCACCCTTGCATCCCCTCCCCCCCCGCGGGATGTCGGCTTCATTATGTGTTGGTGTGCAAGTTTTTTATTTCTTCATTTTTCAGCTAAAGATTAAGAGCACAATAAGATTTTTTTTTTTTTGCTTCCAAAACCTATGTTGCCACTTTCACCACTTGATGTCTGTCCAAACAGGTCTCACTTGTAAATGAGTCTTGGAGGCTCAATGTGATTCATCTGTTTAAATAAAGGTTGGATGAATGAGTTGGTGGTAAGTTTTGCGTGGCCGTGCTACTTTGCCACAAAAAAAAAAAAAATCATTGTAATTCCACTTTAATTGGTGATATGTGAGTATCTGTGCTGCTGATTATCCATGCTGCTGATCTCATGCTGCTATATTCATTCATACCCATCCGCTCACCACAGACTCACGTTCGGGCTGCTGCTTAATACACCGTATTATATTACATTATTAGTGTTTAGCGTATATCTTAGATCCTTATATACTGTTTCTTTTTATGTTTTTTGTTATTATTGGGTGTAACTGGGACCCCGTGTACACAATTGAATTCCACCTCATGCACCACATGTGATGCGAATGACAATAAAGATACTTGAACTAGGAATGCGCGATATATACGGTACACGGTAGAAACTATAGATATTTGGCCCATGATAGAAATCTGTCTTCTACCGGTTAACCGCAGTAACGCTGTGTCTGATGTACAATCAGAGTTATCAGTTTAATCGTTACATTTTTTAGTTGAAAACTGTGCGTAAGTGGTGTTCAAGCCCTTTCTTCAAAAGCTAAGTAGCGAAGCTACAAGCAGGGCCGGATTTAGGAGGAATGGGGCCCCTGGGCTGGAGTCAGGATGGGGGCCCCTGGGCTGGAGTCAATACTGTATAT